TCAAAAAAAAAAAAAAAAGCTGAAAATTTAAAACACTTGTTATTATTTTCATTTGTGTATAGCCATATATTATTTATAAATGCATATGACCTTACACACAAGGTTGAATGCAAATACCCTCTGGAGTGGGCCTGGCTCAGCTCAGGGAGGGAGCCCTGCCTGAAAAGACTGCAGCCTAGGTTGTCACTCTTTCTTGATTCAGCCCAGCATCTAATCACATCTTCTGTCACTCAGGGCCTGAGGGGGTGGGGTTTTAAACGTTATCCAATGAACGACTTTAGGCTGGGAACTGTCCAATCAGACACGTAGCTGGAGCGAACAGGACGGATTCCGGAACGTGGCGGGTCCTTTGTCTCCTGTTGCAGCTGCAGCTTTAAGTCTTTTCTTCGCTGCTCGGCGTCCTCAGCTGCAAGAGGCCCGGCGTCTGCGGCCCTGTGACCTACAGGTCTTCGGAGATCCACAGCTCAGACGCGGGACCCCCTGGAAGCCTAGAAATGGTGAGGGTGCCGGGTCCGTCAAACCGAGAGAGGGGAAGGGGTTGGTTGGAACCGGTGGGAAGCGGCTGTGGCTGGACTCAGGCCTCCCCGCGGTCAGCTCCACAATTTGCGCCCTGAGTTCTCCTGGCGCAGCTCGGCCTCAGTCTCCTTCAGCCCCAAGATGGCGGCCGCACTGACAGCAGGGCCCCGGGCGTCCTGTCTCTTCCCTACCAGTGACTGTGCCGTGGCCTGGAGCCCTCTTTGAGCAGCTTTGCACCCGCAGCCGCGTCTCTCCCAGATTGTGCAGGGACCACGGGAGGGTCTTCAGGGGAGAATCCCGAGTTGGGGTGCGCGTTCATGAATGGGAACAGCTTTGGTCCGTGGGGTACCCAGTTCCTGTTTTCTCCTGTTAAAAATATATGGGAGCCACTGCAAAAATATTAAAGAATTTAATCAAACAGTGGTTCTAGAATTGTAGCGCACCCAGCTATAGTTTGTAGTTTGTGGTCTATGGGAGAGGCTTGAAGGAAAGTCTTTTTGTAAAATGCATGATGAAGAAAACCAAATTAATAATTTGTTAGGTACAGTTATGTGATATCTTAATTTGTACATTAAAGGTGAAAATTTCCTGGTTATGTAATCAGAGCTTAATTGACACATTACAGTTGCTGAAACCTGAATTTTGTTTCTCTGAATGTAGTAATTAAAAATAATGCACCTGAGTTAGATTTTTTGTTTTGTTTTGTTTTTTTAAAGACGGGGTTTCACCATATTGGTCAGGCTGGTCTCGAACTCCTGACCTCAGGTGATCCGCCCGTCTCAGCCTCCCAGTGTGCGGGGATTACAGGCGTGAGCCACCGCGCCCGGCTTTTTTGTTTTTTATTTGTTTGTTTTTGAAACGGAGTCTCACCCTGTCGCCCATGCTGGATTGTAATGGCGCTAGGCTCACTGCAGCCTCCACCTCCCGGGTTCAAATGATTGTCCTGCTTCGGCCTCTGCAAAAAGAGTTTATTAAAGGCCCAGTTAGTTTTTTCCGGATAGCCTCCCTTGCACATGTCCCAGCCTGCTCACTGTAGTAATGGAAGAAGCCTTTCTGCTGAGAGAAGCTGCAGAGTCCTGGAAAGCTACAGGCAGATGCAGTTAAGGTTAAGACAAAAGGGGACTGGGAGGATCTTACAGAAGATGAGGTTGTTATTGCTTTAAGACAGTTTCTTTTTCTTTTT